GAATTATTTTTCCCGGAAGATATTAAAGAGCAAACTAACGATACTTAATTATATATTAATTACAAAAAGGTATTAGTGGGCTCAGGAGGCCATGTATGTTAATCTATGCTTCATATATTTGATAATGTTTTACAAATGTTTTATTAATATCAATATACAATTATTTTGATAAATAAATGAATATTAATGTTAATTGTTTGATTGATTTTTATTTGCTAAAGGGGACTTATAAAACCATTTTTTTGAATTTCCGTTTCAGTAAAATGACCCCATATCTTGAGGTCTGATCACAACCTATTATGAAAATATTATCTCAATTAAAGTGGAATCAAATAATTTGATATTATTTAATAGTGCATATGGAGTTGGCAAAGTCATATTTACTATGACATGTGCAATAGAAAGTTGGAGTGATCCCTGTACCTGTATGAGTTATAATTTATATTTTCCTGCGTAAACACAAAGTATAAAAAGACAAAGTATTGCATACTTTTTAGAGTTATCAATGATAACTTATCATAACATAAAAATATTTTAATTTAAAACAATATGATCTACTTGAACTATAATATAACAGGGTAGTACCGGTATTTTATCGGTAAGTTACTATTAGTCACTATAGTTTAAATGTCAATGGCAAAAGTGAAAGCATATACAGTATATAAACATACATAATACAGTATATGTAATAAATAGTTTATAATTATTTTGTGATTAATATTAAGATTATAATATTTTATTATAAAGAGTACAGTACATTAATATAATTAAACAATAATGTTATATATCATAATACTTTTATATTTAAATTAAATTAAATTAGAGAAAATTATAAATTTTGAAATGATTTTGTATATTATTATTTTTATAAAACTTCTTAAAATTATATATTCAAAACACTATTTTGTAAAGAGGTTCAATAAAAAGTATTTTATAATTTTATAAAATATAACTCAATTGAATGTTTAAATTCAGATGATTATAGTATTTGAATAATCAAACTTATTTGTACTGACAAATAGGTTTAGAGCACATCCTTAAGAATGTCAGCATTCAGAGCATTAGCGGAGGTCTGTCCCCCATCTGACACCAGGTTAGTGCCCGTGACAAAAGCAGCATGGTCACTGGCCAGGTATAGGATTGAATAAGCGATGTCAGTGGACAATCCTGACCGGCCAACAGGTAATATACTGTCAAATCTGTCTTGAAGTTTATTATGAAGTATCAAGTTTATAATATTTAGTTTATATTTATAATTTATGCATTTGATAAGTAAACACAAATTTACTTAAACACTCAAACATTTGAAGTGAAATTATATTTTGTCAATTAAAACATATTTTATTAAATTACAAATATTGTAATATTTTATAATAACTGTACAATTTTATAATTTAATACAAAAATATTCTAATTTAATAGATATTTGTATATGTAGAGATGCTTGATAATTAATATGTAAAACGTTTACATCAAGTCTTTAAGAGCATTTGAATTCATATTATTAGCCGCAACAACACCCCCGTCCACGATCAGATTGGTGCCGGTTACAAATGCAGCATGGTCACTGGCTAGGTATAGTATGGAGTCGCCCACGTCCTCGGACACACCTACCCGACCTACCATGGTCAGATTTGTATACGCGTCCAATAATTTATCCGAGACTTCCTGTGGTATACCCATTGCTACCCCAAATTCAGTGCGAATTGGACCAGGGCTATTCATTCAAATAAGAGGATTGACATTTTATTTTAGACATTGATTTTGTTGTTATCCAATAATTTATCCGAGACTTCCTGTGGTATACCCATTGCTACCCCAAATTCAGTGCGAATTGGACCAGGGCTATTCATTCAAATAAGAGGATTGACATTTTATTTTAGACATTGATTTTGTTGTTATTTTTATAGATAGTAATTATGAATTACTTGATGACATTAACGCGGATACGTTTGGGTCCCAACTCCGCGGCCATACATTTGGTGAACATATCCACCGCACACTTCGCCACACTATAGGGACTGAAACCAGACATCTGTGAATGAATTCATTGTTTTAAAAATTGTTTTGAATTTTGAACTTTTTTGCACTAGACTTACAGCTCGCATGGCAGCGATACTCGAGATGTTGATAACATTTCCCTTTGTTTTCTCCAAATGCTCGACACATATATGCGTTAAATAGACCACAGAATTGAGATTTATTTGCATAGCTTTTTGAAATTTATCGTAAAAATCCTTATCACTGATGCTAGCGGTAATACCGGCGCCGG